GGGGGGGTGTTTAGATATCCAATTGTACCCTAAAATCTGTAAAAAATTGTCAATACCTGTCTTCTTCGTTCTACCAGTTTCACACTGCCATCAATTCTGCAGACTTGAAAACCCTTTTCGCTTAAGTAGTAATCCATAATGTCCAATATCTTAGTCCATTGAGAAAACACCAAAACCTGTAATCCCAGATAGCTAAATGAGGAAACTACAAAATTTGAATCTTTATATTCAACAAAAGGAGAACAAACAAGCCTTCAGTTATACTTTGTGCTTGCGAGCAAAAAGCTTAGACAGTAATTTATCCAGTAATTGAAATTTGCCACATTGCCCAACGATCTGTTCCACGGGAGGATAGAAGTCTACACAGAGAAAACAACATTAAGAGCTCGGAATAATTTATTTTAATTATAATCCAATAAAGAATTTGGGAACTTACAGGACCCATCAAATGCAGACTCCAAAAGATCAGGGTGGTTGCAGTTCTTCCTAAGTTGGATCATCAAATTATTGAGCTTTCCTTTCATTCCATGAGCTGCATACTTATATAATCAGGCACTAATAAAATTAAAATTGGTTTATAAAATGCAGGCAGCTTGTAAAATAGCACGCAAAATGGGATTTGAGACCCTTGGCAGCCAATGACAAGTGATCTGAGAATAAAAGTGCCAGGCTGACTAGAAGCAACAAAAGAAAACTCTAATCAACACTTAACAATTATCATGGAATTAAGTTCCGTTTCAAATAAATTTTATGCAACTATACAGCCTAGATAACGGCATAAAACTAAACTAACACTAATCGAATACTGATATATTACCCAGATATCCAGACAAAAAATGGATTATATTTAACAGCTATTCTTAAGAATTTGCCAAATAGCAATTCCTATAAAAATGAAAATGACCTATGCATTACCATTAGATGTTTTGTCTGCCAAATGAACCTCCAACGTCTTATTAATGAGATGTTCCTGGAAGTTCTTCTGATGTTCCGTCATTGTGGCATACAAGATAATTTCTTTCTTCTTTGGAAGCATTTGTTCCACATCTGATTTCATTCTGCGTAAAAGGAAGGGACGCAGTATAGCATGGAGTTTGGCAACCACCTGCAGATTTATGAGAAATGGCAAATTTGAACATAACCATAGCTATAGTCTTTTGTGGAAACTCATTCCATTATTATGAGCAAACCTGTGCCCTTCTTTTCTCTTCTATATCTTCTTTGAGGGCTTCATTAGTGCACTTCCCTGAAAAGTCAAACCTGAAGATCCACAAATGCAATAAAACAGTGAGAAAACAAAAAAACTCGAGCCTTCAACCAAGATGTCTGCTACAAGAGTTTAACAATAAAAAATAGTTGCACAGTTTCATAATTTGCAGCTGACAAAAGCATTTAGGATCATAAAAAATGAATGGGTAAGGAGTTGAGGCAAGGATGTCAACATTATTTCACAAAAAGTTCACTGCAGAAAGACAGCTAAACCATCAACGCTTTCCTTGCTAGCCTTTGTTAAATAGGTGTTTTCTTCATTGGATTTCATTCAGAATAATCAGTGGGAAAGTACAAGCATCTTTGTGCGACATAGTAATACTGTTATGCAAGCAGAACTGTCATATCAAAAACCAAAATTCCTAAATCAACACCCATGTGTTATGATGCTGTAAGTGGGTTTCAATGCTCCAGGTCTACAGTACAAATCCCTCCAACACTTTGTATCACGGGAAGAGTTCTAAAAGATTCTACAAGGAACTGCCACAAAATAACTTGCCAAACGGTCTCACCAGCTTACACATTCTGGATATGGGTAATCTTGACACACTTGTTGAAAAATGTGACTATGCAAGCACATCTTTAATGAAAGGATAATTGGACAAGAAAAGCTGTAATTTTTTTACTCAAAAACAAAAATTTGCAAATGGTACATGTAATCAGCAGAAACAATTTCAGTCAAATATATTCTATACAAAAATGAAAAATCACAGATACTGAAGATACAATATCACACGGAAGCATCGGAAAAGTTAAAAGTTTCCTTACCAGGACTCAAATTCTTGATGGGACGAAAAGATATCGGGAAGAATAAAATTCAACAGTGACCAGAGCTCAGCTAAGTTGTTTTGCAGAGGTGTGCCGGTCAAAAGAAGCTTATTCTCAACAGATAAATACTTCAGTTCCTTCACCAATTTGCAGTTTGAATTCTTCAACCTGTGTCCCTTCAGAAAAAAAAAATATAATTTATTAATAGAGAAAAATTAATACAGGTGTAGTAGTTCATAAACTTCAAGGCATGTATCACAAACGAATTTCAGCAGGAAACAGGTATCAAATAAAATAAAATATACCTCATCCACAACCAGGTATTTCCAGCTGTAATGCTTGAACTGTCGTCTTGCATCTATCATGGCAACTTCATAAGAAGTAATAACAATAGGGAATTTGGGACCTATTGTCCTGGGCATGTGATTTCTTATAATCTCAGCCCTCTCTTTCCTATCACCATGATAAATGATCGCATTCACAGAAGGCACAAACCTAAAACACAATATTTACATTAAATTACATTCACATGTGTGAAGAATGGAATAGAACAAGTCATCATATGAAAATGGTATTATAGAATGTACCTCTCTATTTCACTCAGCCAATTTGAGAGAGTGGAGAGGGGAGCAATGACTAAGTAAGGCCCATGCATTCCATTTCCTTTGAGATGTGCAAGAAAAGCAATTGTTTGAATTGTTTTCCCAAGCCCCATTTGATCAGCAAGGATTCCATTAAGTCCATTTTGCCACAATGAGATCATCCACTTTACGCCTTTGATCTGATAAGACTTCAATTTTCCACCAGTCAAAAGGGGTACGAGTTCTTCCTGCTCCTTCTGATTTCTCTCTGTCTCCGTAAGACTCAAATCTTTGGTAGAATCGCCAGCTTTGGTTCTTGTAAGCATAGCTGCAACAGCTCTCTTGGCTTTCCTCTATACATGCAGAAAAATTGTTCAAGCAATACAAATCTCATGTGTTATAATATACATGGCAAATGAAAAGAAAAAAAAAAAAAAAATCATACAAAATGTCCCTCAGCATATAACGCGATCAACATAAACGCATCAACAAAGTAAACATTTGGAGAATTTTTCCTTATGAAACAAGCCAGGATCGAAAAAAAGTTACATTATCATAACTTGCGGCAGCCTTTCTTTTGTAACCACGACCCCTCTTGACCTCTTTAGCTGCCTTCTCATCATCCTCCAGACCATTCTAAATTATCAAACCAGCCACATTAGAGGAATTGCCATTGAAAATCAAGTCTTATCTATCGTGAGAAAGCAAACCTTTGTGATGTCATCCATTTTCTCAAGCAAGAACTCGGAGTAAAGTTGGGTCTGTGTTAAGAGCTCGTCTAGTTTAGTGAACTGGATGTCATTCAGCAGAGGTTCTCCTTTAGAGTCATTAGCCTTTCCATCTTCTTCTTTCAGTCGCACTTCCAGCAGCTTTTCGTCCTCTTCTACCATGGTTTTTGAAAGAAGAGTACAACCTCCATTTTCTGCATCAACTTCTACCTCCAACTCAATACCAGGGCTCTCCTTGCAGTCCTTTAGCTCAAAAAAAATCAGCAACACGAAAGGCGAAATAGAAATTATCAGCTAAGCAAAGAATGGGACTATGTATCACAAATTTTGAAATCTTAGACTGTGGAATTGGGATCCTAATGCATGGTAAATTAAAGCAGAGACACCCTATACATTGGCAAAAAGAATTCAAAACATAGGCAAACAAAGAGCTCAATGGCTGAGAAAAGGGAATATTCTAATAGGAAAAACGTTCTTACAATACCTAAAACTCAACTAAAAAAACCCCATGATCAAAAATAAATAAACAAGACACACTTGAAGGTCAAAACAGCACAAAACCTAAAATGTTCAGCTGATATTCCACAAAAAAAAAAAAAGATCTGTATAATTTAGTGTGCTGGCAGTTTCCCCGGTAACTCTCCATAAAAATCTTCCAAAGATCAAACACGAAAAAAAAAATAAAATAAAATAAAGGCAACAACCACTTGACAAAATAAGTATTTCTCCCCTGACGAGTAAAATAGCTGCACCCACACAGCATACGCACACCTAAACTATAATACCCATAAATACATACAAGCGTTCAAAAAGAAAAATATTTATTTCCAACAGAAAGGAAAATGCGGAAACTGTTATGTCTATACCTCGTCTTCAAGAACAGAGGTCGGAGAATCGGTGACAGGCTCATTCTTCTCTTCGTTCTCGGCCATCATTTCTCTTCAAACCCTACCCTTGATAGTAAAATAAATTAGGTTATCAAATCAAAAGCCGACAAAGCAAAGCAATGTAATGAAAAACTCTTCTCGAAATTAATAATAAAATTAAACACAAAAAAAAAAAACCCATAAACCCTATACGGACAAAAGAGAAGTACTTGATGCTCAAAAAAGTTTTTTAAGTTTTTTCTTCAAGATAAACGGATAGATGAGTCGATTGTAGAGGCGAGTATGTGTGCTATGAGAGAAGAAGTGACACCAGAGACCCAAAAAAAAAAAAGTATTTTGTATGCTCCGAACCCTTTTTTGAGGAAATGCACTCTTGAGAAATGTACCAGTGATATTATTTTAATTTAATGCCCACTGTAGGGAAGGCAATGGGCGGGAAACCAGAGGTTACTACTTTGCCTACAAACTTATGATTTGTACCCTTTCAAATTCTAAAAATATTTTTATTATTGGGTCAAAATCTTTTTCACCCGTTAAAATTTATTCTTTCTTTTACATACCGCCCCATCAAATAATTTCTTTTACACCCAAAAACTCACGAAATACTATGCGATATTACAGTAGCATGTCCAAATGAGCCAGCGCATATCCAAGCGGACGCATAATTTATGACTATGCGAAAATATTTCGCATTTTTGTAATCGCATATCCACATCAAACGCATAATTTACAAATATGCGAACATCTTTCGCAGTTTTAAGAATCACATATCAAAATCGAATGCAGCATAATTTGCGATGATTATGCGCCTTATTTCGCAGGGCTATATCTGTTTGGTTCGATATACTGTACGGAACAAAGTTTGCAGCAGAATTTAAAATTTTATAAGTATTTATCTTATAAATATTTATTACGTACATAAGTATAATGAGATAACGAATAAGCATCATTTAAAATCTAGTAACTTTTATTAATTTTGATTTGATATGTAATTTATAAAAATTACCTTTTGTTCTTGAACTCCTTCAAAACCGACGATGTATGAGGAAATCAATTCCCGGTTTGGTAACGATCACTTCTTG